ATAACCTACTAAAAAAACATTTATTTTATTAAGGTTATGATCTAAAAATTTTAACTGTCAAGTTTATATTAATTTTTTTAGTATTTTCTACATTTATTGCAATTTTGACAGAAAAAATGCATAACTCAAAAACAAGACAAATTGTTTTCTCAAAATACGATCACATTTTTATATTACTTTGATTTATATTAAGTATTATTTTCTAGAGGCAAATGATTTAAAAAAAAACGCTTAGTTTCCATACTTTGTTTTCTCTTTAACATACTTATAATCGGATCTTTTTTCTTAAACTGTCTAATTTTTAACTTGAACTGAAATTTTTAATCAGAAATTTGTGATTTGAAGAAAATATGCACAAAGTTGCCAAAATATGCAAAATATGCATTTTTTAATTGGCCTATTTAATCAAAAAACATTAGATATGCATAGAAAACTTATAATTTTATTAATATACCTCTTAATAACAAATATGCGTTTTGCAAAAAAGACTTTAATTTACAACAATTTGTTGTTTTTCCTTGTTGTAGAAATAGGTGTTTAATGCTATATTCACACGCACGTATTCTTAAAACTATAGAATGATAACGTTTCTGGGTAGAAAAATTGCAAGGAATGCAATTTTTTAAATGTTGATTCTCAGCATGCAGATGCGTGAGTCATGTACTTATATAATTCTCAATGTTATATAGTTGAATTATTGACTGTGATGCTCGGACAGTCCCAACAAATACCATAAACTAAATATTACACTTTACTGCCACTAAATGTCCACCGCGAAATAAAAATGTATACTATACGAGTTTATAACGTGGCCAATAACTTTTATATGGCATCTTCTTATGCCTTCAGAACGTTTACTTACCGCTGAAAAATAACTGGTCTTGATATCATATACCTACTGCTTGAATACGTGGAAGAATAAAATGATGGCAACTTTATCAACTTTAAGTACTTACCATAAAAATACTCTGCCTAATTTAATTATTTGTTGGTTATAAAATTCATTTTTGTGCGATTTCGAAGAAATAAAAGCTGTTATAAACGCCGCTACGAGGTTTTATGCGAGATGAACTTTTCAGCAAGTGGAGTCAAAAAAATGCAGATTTTATTAAAACTTTATATGTTGCATTAAAAATTAAGTGTAAATATACCGAATGTTCAATAAAAAAAAGCTGAAACCTGCGGTGAAAGAATTCACATATAATGAGAAAAGATTAAAAAAAGAATATAAAAGAATAAAAAAATACAAAACAAGAGTGTAAAAAGAAAAAAAGTGATGAAGTCAATGGGTAAAGAATGGAATGCAATATATTATAGAAATGTTGAACGGAAGATTATAATCAAGAAAATAGAAAACAATATTGTTCAAAAAATAAATTTGCAAGAGAAGAAATCGAAATGTCAAAACAAAAAAAAAAGTGAAGATATAGTTTGACACCATAAAAAGTGACACAGAAAGAAGGAATAAGATGAATAAGTCACGCCAGTTACAGGGATAAAGTGAAAGAAGTACCCGAAACAGTGTTGCCAGTTCAAAAAATAAAAATCACCAGATCCGAGTTGAAAAAGTTGTCAAATTTACACTCATTTTCATCAGATTACAAAATTACGATTTAAATCTTTCCAATAACAGGTGTTTATTTAATTTTGCGTCATAGTTGGCGGTGACTATGAGTGTGTTGTGAACGAACCACAATTTTCAATTCGCCCGGAGAAGTGTCAAATGTCAGATTCATAACTTTCAATAGGATTGTTCGTTCACAATCAAACTTTCAAGGAGAGTCTTGACGCCCAATTATAATCTTTTTTAAAACAATTTAAGAATTCTTGACTCGAAAAATCTAAATCTTGCAAAAAATAAAGTTTTCAACTTAAAAATATGATTACAAAAAAAGGCAAAAATAAAACGATTTTTGACTTGTTTTAAACAAAATTTGGCGAAATAATTGCATTTCTAGCTGTAAACGTGTTAAAACGCTCAAAAATGTAATTTAAGAATTAATTTGTTGATTTTTCGGTTTCTTTTAGCAAAATCTCACGAAAAATCTGTGAAAACGAAAGCATTTTCAACCAAATTTTGTGGTTTCTCGATTTATTTTTGTCTTAACTTTCCTTCAAAACACTTAAATCAAGTGAAACAAAATAACATCAATACCAATTCTTTTTGTGATTTTTAGGCGTATTTAGACAAAATTTTGCAAAATAAATGAGCCTTTGGTTTAAAATAGTTTTCATCAGCATCATTAAATAGACATAAGAAAATGTCAAAAAATGGCAAAAAATAAATGTCAACATTTTTTGACAGATAGAATTTTCTAAACATTTTTTTCCATGTTCCTGGTATCTTATCGTTCTTGAACTTTTTCTCTGGGGTGCGAGTTCTGGCGCACCCTGTATTTCTATAGTTATTTCTATAGAGTGCGTTACAAATTGCTCGCGATAATACATTACGATTTAATTTATCAAATTGATATCTTTTTGGTCTTTGGGGTTTTTGGGGTTATCACTATGCAAAAATTTGCTTGATTGACTTGGACAGAGCCTTCGTTAATCAACTACAAATTCGTGAAACAAAGTATCACTTTCAGAACTAGTTGTACAAATAACTATTAAAACTTTTTCGTTGTTATTTCAAAAACATACTCAAACACTCAATAAAGACAAAAACAACACCATTTTTAGCAAATTTTTGGTTCGTTTTTAGCAAAATAATTGAAAAATGTACCTATAAAATAACAACAGCATTTAAAAAAGGTATGAGTAAGTTGCCATTTTCAACCCTGTTTAGTAGAATCGCAAATAAAAAATATTTAAAAACATTTTTAACCAATTAGGTGTTTTTTCGATTTTTTTTTAATTTGGCGAAATAATGAAGTTTCTGATTGAAAAACGTGGAAATTGCTCGAAAACATGCAAGAAATAGTATCTTTATTTTTGACCTAGTTTACTATATCATTAATTGATAAAATTAGTGTAGTAATTTTTGATAGTAACCGCAAAGTTACAACAATTTTTTTTTTCATTTTCAAGAGAATTTTTACAAAAATTTTCATCAAATCATCAGACTACATACTATGAAAATCTCCAGATCTGGTAAAATTGCACCAGACCTGGTAACACTCACCTAAGAGGAACCATGAAAGAAGAGAAAAAGAAAATGATAGCAATAATTTAAAACAATTTCCAGATATTGTTCTCTACATAGAAGTGATATTTTTAAGCTATTTTTTCAATTTTTTTATGGTGATATTCTTTCCGAAAATCTCAAGTTAGTTGGATAATACTTTTTGATTACATACTATTTATTTTGACGTAACCTTTAAGAAAAATGTTCAAGGATCCTTCACAATGCAATGATACGAGTAATGTCAAATCTTAAAGTTCATCTCAGAATATATCAATAGAGCAAATTCAAATGTAGGTTAAATGTGTCTGATTTGATCACAACATAATAAATCTTTTCTCGACAATAAGAACTAAAACCTATTGCACCTCAGAAATTGAATCAGAAATGTTTATTTGTTTAGAAAATTAGAGATACAGTATAATAATTAATTAATAATTGACACATCAGACAATATCATAATTGTGTTAAGTACTTATTTATTTTTCTTAATTTCTAATTTATTAAAAAAAATACTTCTCCGTCACAAAGCGAGTTTAAGAATTTATAAAAAAACTCAATTTTTCTTACTTTCGGTTAATAAGATTTTAATTATAAAACAATCTGAGTGAGTCAAAAATGTATGCTCACAAAAACATTTATTATTGATGACGCAATATTTATTGCTAATGGATGGCAACGTGTAGGTGGCCAGACGTCGCAAATGCTTATTGGACTTCAAACTGATGCACGGCCTAATCTGCATAAACATTTGTCACCGACTTCAAAAACACTCGTTTCAATTCCATTTGGACAAGCTCTGTTAATGCAACAATTTAATTATGCATTCAAATAATTAACTCGAGAAAATAATAATAATTCCTGATGAAAAAAAAGTGCATAAATTTTCTGGAATTCGAAATAATAAAATACATGAAAAAAATATTAAGAAACCTTTGAAATAACTGACACTGATTTATGTCAAGCACGAATTTTTTTATATTTTTGTATCGGGAACTATGTTCTTTCTTCATCAAATTATCGAACATTAAAGTTTCGTGTTGAAAAAATGAGTGGAGAGTGTTATTCTATGGAAGTTGGCACACCACTAAAAGGTTAGTCATGTCGCAAAAATCGTAAATTTATGATTCATTCTAGGTAATAAAGTGATGGAAACAAATTGTTCTCAATTAATTCAAGACGGAAACAAAAATATCAATCAACTTTTGGGTACTAACTCTAACTTAGTAAATATTTTATTTGCAAGTCTCTTGTAGAATATGAAACAATGGTTTCTTCAGCTGAAAATAAATGTAATCAGTTAAAAAGCCAACTTGAACGCATTAAACAGTACTACAGCAGTCAATCTGAAGCCAAATTCCCGAAATCTTCATATTCCAACTCCACAAAAAAACCATCAGCTAAAAAACAAGCAACAAAAATGATTAGACAAAATTCCAACGCAATAAGTACCGACAGAACCGGGGCTGCTTTAGGAACAATTAACAACATTTTAACAGGGATCACAAAATCCATGCAAGTTCCCGATTTGCTCCCAAAATCAAAAATTCCAGAAGTCCAAAGCTGCAGCCAATTGGGGAGTGGACAAGTTTTTGGTGTCGATGAAGTCACAATCAATACAAAATCGAAACAATCAATACAACTCAAATCAAAACCGAAAATTAGCAAATCTAAAGTCGCAGCAATAACTTCTTCAAGAAACTTTAAAAAAATGAGAAAAGCAACGGCCAGTCTCCCTGATAAACGCCACAGTAAGAGTAGTGAGAGTCAAATTCCGAAAATAGCACCGGCGATTAACAAACGGGGAAGAAAATTGTTGAGCAAACCCAAAGTTTCCGTCTTCGAAACCGAAAAAAAGTCAAATGTGGTTCCAAGTATTGTCAAACATAGTGCAAGAAACCCAGATTTGGTTGAAATATACCACAACAATGCTGTCAAGCAAACCAAATCGAGTGATAGTGATATTAATAAAAAGAAACACAAAGTTGGTGAAAAAGTTGAAACTGATGTTGAGGTAATCCCACCATTAAATATTGAGGAAAATGAAAATCAAGATCAAAACAAGGGTGTCGTAAGTATTTACAAAAATTACACCATGCCAACTATTTCCTCAAGAATGAAACAAGCGGCGAAATTTTACATGCACTCGTTCAATATTAAAACTATACCATTTTGTCTTTCCACTTCTACGAGTCCTAGTCACAATATCGGAATTAACATTCAACAAGTGATAAGTATGGTGAAAACTAAACAACCAGTTGGGAAATTATCACCAACTCTTGCATATAACATCGGTTTAGCTGCGGGAAAATGGGAAGATAATCCCTTATCGATTTTGGGTTCGACTGTGACTACTAGAGCCTTTCCGTAATTTCTTAATTTTCTCAAATTTATAATATTTGTGCGTTTTTAGTTCACAGTGTCCTCTTTCTCGCAGTACAGTTAACTATCAACACCTTCAAGAAATTGCAAAAACTATACCACAAGACATAATCGAAGAAAATGAAGAAATTGAAGAAACTGAAGTTTCGCCTGAAACTCGATCAGTGATCATTACAGGCCCATCAGGTGATGTGAAAGTTATCAACAAAAAACAAACTATTTGGAGTGCTAATACGGAAGAGAAAAGATGTACCTGTGTTGTACCCAAAGGAATAGGTTTTCAACAAATTGTCAATAAATTTAACGGAATTGCAACGAAACCCAAAGTAAAAAACAAGATTTAACTACGTAGCTTTCAATGTGTTTTTTTAATAGAGTACCAGTCCTTCAATTATTAAAATGAAAGGGAGAAAATCGAAACAAATTGGTTGTGGTGAAGCCGGTCAACAAACCGATTTTATGCCTCTGCATAACAAGGAGAAGAAACTTAAAGAAGTTTTGGGTAAATTACACGACGAGTTTGAGACTATGACAAAGTAATTAATTTTTAACTAAATTCAAAAGTTGTTTTAATGATTTGACAGGACTTATGATGAATTGGTGAAAAGGAATGATGAAGGCAAAGCAACGCCTGATGCTCTCCAACAACTCGAAAAATTAGACAACGAACTTAACAGTAAAGAAGAAGAAATCGTGATGGTCATGACTTTGTATAAAGAGGTGTTGGCTTTGAAGCAACAAGTGAAAACTTTGAAAGAACGTGCAAGTAAAGAAAGTGTTTCGATGCATAACCAGGTTCCGAAAATTGGTGGCAAAAATATGGAAACAGCCGGGCTTTTGAATAAACTGCTGCAAAGGCTGCATTATTACCAGACACATTACAAAAAACACTAAATTTATAACGAAAAATCATGTGTCAGTGTTGTACTTGTACAACAAATACATAAACAATGACAAAAATTGTTGTTTTAAGCGTTCTAATGTTTTTTTTTTATAAAATCAGTGTCAAAATAATTGACAAAAACGTTCACATATGAACTGTTTCTGTATACAGGGTGTCTCCAACTTCACGCCCGTGCTTTTGGGATGTATCGAGGGGCCGTTACCTTGAAAAAAATATGTACAACTAATTCCAGTTCCAAAAAATTCCACCGAAATTCCAGTAATTCCCAAAAATTCCACCAAAATTCCAGTAATTCCAAGAAAATTCCCATAATTCCAATAATCCGTCGTAATTCCATTTTTTCCAGATAAATTCCTATAATTCCAATTTAATTCCTGTAATTCCAAATTACATGTTCCAAGAAATTTTGAAAAGAAATTATACATATAAATGTCCTTGAAGCTCAGCGCTTGTGCAGCGCGCTCAAGTTCAGCTGCGTCATCAATATGGTACTCAAAGTAACTCTAATGATTTCAAAAAAAAATCCAGTAATTCTAAAAAAAATTACAGCAATTCCAAAAAAATTCCAATAATTCACATACAGGGTGCACCAGAACTCGCGCCCCAGAGAAAAATGCCATATAAGGTAAGATACCAAGAAAATGGAAAAATGTAAAAAAAAATCTATCTATAAAAATTTCGAAGTTATGAGGGTTTAAAGTTTGCACTTTGATTCTATTTATTTCTTTTATAAAAATAATTTTCCAAGTTTTTTTGCTATAGGCTACTAAAAGAGGAAACAAGGAAGCTGTATCCTAAATTGTAACTCTGTTCAATGTTATTTGTGGCTTTTATTGGCAAAATTTTTGTCCCTTTACTAAATAATTGTAAAAAAAACATATACAAGATCATCAGTATCATTAAATAGATATAAAAAAATGTCAAATGTCGAAAAATATATGTCAAAATTTTTTGACAGATAGAATTTTTTAAACATTTTTTTCATGTTCTTGGTATCTTACCTTACTTCTGGCGCACCCTGTATAATGCCAGTAAATCCAAACCATCGCCGTCTCGATAGAAATAATCCTTTTCTTGCCTGGACATTTTTTTAGTTTAAAGGGTTCAAACTCATAATATCAATTCTCTGTGGCGTATCTTGTTTTGTTGTATCCTTCCCTCCCAGCTTTTATTAATTGTGTTATTTTTCGTTAATAATTAAAAATCATTCAGTTTTTCCTTAGTAACTCGTAACAATGCATTTTTTACGAAATGCCCAGGCGGGATATTGATACATTTCATTAAAGAGGCGGTGTTTCAAACAATCCAAAGATAATTTCAATAATTCCAAATCCTTTCAAATAATTCCGAGCAATTTCCGATTAAATTCCAAAACTTTTAGCAATAAAAAATCAAAGTTGTATTTTCGGCTTCTTGAACTGCACACGAAAGAGAATAAATAAATTGGTTTTGCCTCTGACAAGCCATTTTAATAACCTTGTAATTAAGCCTTGCTAAGAAATCTGTACTTTTCAGATCACATCATTTATTTTTTTAAATGGCAACCTACCAAATAAAACATTTTTCTCATGAAGGTTATGATCTAAAGGATTACAGCTATCTACTAATATTAACTATCTACTTTATATTAAATTATTATTTTTTTATATAAATTGTAATTCTGACAACAAAAATCGAACAACTCAAAAACAAAGCAAAATTTTGTTCTTAAAATAAGAATTTTTTTTATATTACTTTAATTTATATTAATTATAATTTTTTGGAAACAAATGATTTAAAAAAACGCTTATTTTGATACTTTATAAAACGAATTTACTCAGCAGGATACTAATTTTTTTGAGTCTGGCTTACGAATTACCGATTGTTTTCTCTTTAAAATATTTTGTAGTCGGGTCATTTTTCTTAAACTATACAATTTTTAATTTGAAATGAAATTTTTAATCGGAAATTCGTGTATTGAAGAAAATATGCACAAATATGCAATATTTCCTAAAATATGCACGAAGTTGCCAAAATATGCAAAATATGCATTTTTTATTTGGCATATTCTAATGCCAAAACATTAGATATGCATAGAAAACTTACAATTTTGTTGATATACGTCTTAATAACAAATATGCATTTTGAATATAATCCGCGCCTTACTAATTAACCTCAAATGTTAAACTATTTCGACTGACAGCTGTCACTATTGACAGCACCATCTGGTTCAAAAAGAGTGAGCGGCACAGAAAAAATTACATAAACGACTAGATAAAAATCCTTTTGAATGTACTGTATCTCTATTTCATGATACAGTTTTTTTTTTTCAAAACAATTGTCGAAGTGTTGTCATGTTGGTATGAGCCACTAGTTATTTGAAGTTATTAAGTTGGCAACGGCAAATATCATTTGTGTGCCAGCTATTTTGATGTTCATTTGGCCAACTTTGATCAACAATATTAAAAAGAAGAACATTTTCGCGATAGTAGGAAGAGCCCTTTTTTACTCAAAGTGACAAAAGTGTTCAACCTACAAACTTTTCCACTATTAAAAAAGACAAAAAACGTGAATAAGTGCCAGTTAATTTTATAGACTTGAAACAGGATATAGGAAGGAGTAACCATCTCTATAAAACATGGTTTGTCCTGTGACTCCTGTGGAGCTATACTTCAAGTGATTTGTTTCGTATTAAGAAAGTGACATGAAAAATATTTCGCAGTATTGGCGTGACAATTACGATCAGTAAATTGCCATCTAGTAAATACCATGATATTTAAATGCTCAACTTCCAGTAATAAATGATTATACACCATCAAGATTGAATTAATCATCGTAATAGGTTAGCGATGAGTGTTTATGGCTGATTTATAAGTGTATTTGTTATAAAATCTTCGACAATAAATATTCATCATCTAGATAATCTTCAAAAATAAATCGTGAATTATAAATGTTACGGAAAATGTTAAAAACACTGTCCTAAATAAGGTCACGCTTAGGTATATCTGATATTTTAAATACAGGATGCGCCAGAACTCGCGCCCCAGAGAAAATTTTCAAGTAAGGTAAGATACCAGAAACAAAAATTCTCTGTCAAAAAATTTTGACATTTGACATTTTTTTATATCTATTTAATGGTACTGATGATCTTGTATATGTTTTTTTTACAATTATTTAGTAAAGAGACAAAAATTTTGCCAATAAAAGCCACACATAATATTGAACAAAGTTACAATTTAGGATACAGCTTCCTTGTTTCCTCTTTTAATAGCCTATAGCAAAAAAACTTAAAATTATTTTTCCAACAAAAATAAATAGTGTCAAAGTGCAAATTTTAAACCCTCATAAATTCAAAAAGAAATTTTTATAGATAAATTTTTTTAACATTTTTTTCCATGTTCCTAGTATATCGCATTACCTTATATCGCATTTTTCTCTGAGGCGCGAGTCTCACAGCACCCCGGGCCCTCGAGTCTTACGGGCCCCCAATTATGGTAGGCTTATTATGTATGTCAAGAGCTCATTGAAATAATATCAATTATTTTAAATTTGTAAATAAACTTTCCACAATGCATTCAGCATGAAGTGCTGAACCGCGATTTTCGCAGAAGCTATACAGGGTGCGCCAGAATATAAGTGTGTTTAGTTTGAAGGAATTAAAAAATTGACACCATAACAAATAAAACTATAATTTCTATAATTTCAATTATTTTAGCTCAATGTTTATAAGGTCTTACACGCATGTAAGAAAAATTCCGCGCAGTTTTATACAAGTGATTCAAAAATTTGTGTCATAATTTTAATCACGAATACAATCACAGTAATCCAACTCATCAAGCAATAGAAAAATTACAGCTTTTATAATCATCAAGAAATAAACAAATGTTCCTTTGGATTTAATGAACTTTACATTAAATATGACAGCATTGACAGCGATGTCATTCGTAGTGGATTCTTTCCAAGGTACGCTCAAAATTTATAAATTCCGATTTTGCAGCGCGGTGTAGAATTTAGTTTAAACTCAAATAACTCGAGAACGGTACATTTTGGCGATATGAAGCTACCTTTTTTCTGTTTCAATAACAGAAATTAATAAGCCGAAAAAAAGTTATAATCCTAACACTGGAAGGACCCATTGCTGTCTATGCAAAATTTAATAATAATAGGATAAACGGTAACAATAATATTTCCAGAAAATTATTTTTTCATAACGACTTTTGGAAAGTTGTAATTTTTCTATTTTTTGAGTTGGGTCAATAAATACTGTACTATCTATTTTCAATTGTAGAGGGGTGTTCGTAATTAAAATTATGCCACACATTTTTTATTCAACCGATATAAAATATCGTTTTTACTTAAATGAATTTAATTTTAATTTTTAATTTTTTTTTTATTAGGTATTATTAGTGGGCTTAAATTAAATGGAAAAATCGAAATATAAGTATAAATTTGGTGCACAGAAACGAAAAGAAAAACGAAAATTAAAATTACAAGCAGCCTTTGAAGACGTTCATCTAAAAACTTTTTTAGATTTTTTTTTCGGTTATTATTAAACCATCACGATTTCAACTGACGTCACAATCTCAATAGAGGAAACAAACTCCTTCAAAAAAATACTACATTAAGTGACAAGTAGTTTTTATACATATTTTTATTGTATTATATATTGGGCCCTCATTTCAACTTTTAGCACTCCATATAAAAATTTAGCAGTCCGCCCCTGGCGCGAGTTCTGGCGCATCCTGTATAAGCTTTCATTATTGTAGAGTCAAGAGTTATTTTTGAAAATCATCCGTTTAGCAAATGCGTGTCTGATACTTTTTAATATTTACACAATCCGTAAATCACATGTCATTACTCATGAATTGCCGACATTTAAACGAAAAGTCAAAAACAAAAATTATCGTCGGAAAGTTGTTAAATGTAAACACACGTTTGTTGCTGTTGTAATGGGCATAATTGTCACTCATAGGTGGTAAATTACAGGGCCGGCTTGCCGTTGCGTCACCAAGGGGCAGACCTCACACCATCAAGCCATCAACTATAACAGATAGTACTTATTATTTATTGTGAACAATGGTGTCATCGCACCGTTCAAACTAAACTTATTACAATTTCAATAGCCACTCTGACTAAAAATTAAAATATCTCAACCAAGAAAAAATTAAATTAGCTACAAAATTTCATATAGGTACCTATAATATTACAAGGTTGAGCTAAAGATTTTAAAAATTATTTAGCGCTTTTAGCACCTTATTCACAAAAAGACTTAATTACCTGCGTTGACATAAACATAATAGGAAAACTATTATAAAGAAAAAACAAATAAAAATTGTTTTTCTGTTGTTTCAATATTCATGGGAAATAAGCAGCTACATTTTTAGTAAACAATTTTCTCCAGTTCTGTTTGTTTGCTGTCCTTTGAAAAGGTGTCTTAGTAACATGTTTATGGCGGCTTCAGTTAAGGAACTCATAAAAAGTGTTACTTTATTACATATGCTTATAACAAAGTTGTATATTTTTTCTAAATAAAAAACGGTATTTCCAATTAATTATAATAAAATTTAATTATTGCAGATTTATTATTAGCTATGAGTTTATTTATATTTCAGAAACCATTTTAGATAAAATATCAAAATTTTTGATCAGGGACTGTTTCTTGCCAGTTTTAACAACAAAATTCTAAATTTCATAGTTTTTCACAAAGAAGAGGTCTCTTGCGTTTTTTCAGTATAACTTACTCTTTTTGAGTAAAATCAGTTTAAAATTCATGTTACAGATCCTAAACAGCATAAAAATTTAAAATTAAATTCGTTTTACCAGTTTAGGACGACCCTGATTAAAAATTTCAACATTTTTGATCTTTGAATTCGTTTAGGTGTATAAAGCTTATCAGCTATCGGTATCAAAGTTTATAATTTTATTTATTTTGAAATAAAGGGGGTGTAGCTCCCTTACATAGTATTTTTCGAAATACGTTTCTCTTCAAATTTGTAACAATAAAAACGAAACACGCTGTTTAAAATGCCTCACGATTTTGTGCCAGGTAGTTCTAGAATGCTTTAAACCTCAAATAATTACAAATAATTTTAGAAATTTCTAAGCCATTCTAATGTCATGTCTTAAAATGTCACAATAATTACCACAAAAACCTCAGAATTACTTTACAATGGCATACAAGTTCCAAAAAACGAAAAAATGCTTTAAATATTATTAAAATACTTCAGAATGACATACAAAATGCCCTATGCAGGGTGCGCCAGAACTCCTGCCCCAGAGAAAATTTTTAATAAGGTAAGATACCAGGAACTTGGAAAAAATGTTTAAAAAATTTTGACATTTATTTTTTGACATTTGACATTTTTTTATATCTATTTAATGATACTGATGATCTTGTATATGTTTTTTTTACAATTATTTAGAAAAGGTAGAAAAATTTTGCCAATAAAAGCCACAAATAACAATAACAGAGTTACAATATAAGATATTGCTTCCTTGTTTCCTCTTTTAATAGCCTATAGCAAAAAAACTTAGAAAATTATTTTTCTAGCAGAAATAAATAAAGTCCAAGTGCAAAATTTAAACCCTCAAAACTTTGAAATTTTTATTAACATCTTTTCCATATTCCTCGTATCTTATCTTATATGGCATTTTTCTCTGGGGCGCGAGTTCTGGCGCACCCTGTATTTTTGACCTTTTTTAAAAAAATGCTCCGACTACGATCAAAAAAAGTGTGAGGAACAAAGCTGAAGAGAATTGAATTTTAAAAAAGTCCGCAATACTCTACTTTTCGTTTTTAGGCCTAAAGATCATCAAATATGCTTTAGTGACTAAAACATTTCAAGAAGACTTAAGTTAAAAAGTTAAATTTTCTATAACTTTGTTCCTTCCACTCTTTTGTTTCTTTACACTTATTCGAAGCGTTTTCATAAACCAAAGTAAAAATTTCTTATGGTTTCTAATTTATTTATTATCAAATTACTACGTGTAATTTTTCTATTTACTTTGTAATCACCATCATTTAAGTACTGCCATTTTTTTCATTTTGTCCATTTTTGTGTATAAATCGAACATAGTGACGAAATATAGATTATGTTCAGAATTAAAAAATATTTAAATTTTTGATTTAAGCGTTTAATGAATGAAAATCAAATGATTTCAAAGACATTTCAGGCAGACCTTTAGTAAGTAAAATCCTGTCTGTCGACCCGACCGAAGCAATATGCAATTCATTAGAAAGCTTTTAACTCTAATGTAGATTGATGTGAATGTCAGTTTTACACGCGACTGCCGCGTGCGTGAAACGAGGGTAGTGTACCCTCTAAATGAACTAAACTGCAACACGAGGATAGTTTACTCCTTGTCAAAAAGTAATCATTAATTATTTAACCACAACACTTTTTTCTATTTATTTACCATTACCTCATCAAAATTTTAGAGATGAACCACTGGTCTATGATTCATGGAAGACAAGACAGATGTCTTTGGGCATTTGGGGCCCCTAACCTGACGAAGGATGACTCATTTCGTAACTCTTTGATTGCAATCTGCAAGCAATACATTACATGACGAACTAAATGTACGTGATTTTATTTGAACTATTCATGAATTTTAAAGCCTAACCCTGCACTTACTGTATATAAAAACTAGTCAGGAAATCATAAAAAAATCATAATAATAGAATGAAAAAAATATTAATTCGGATACAGTAGACAGTAAAATATTTAAACAGTAATAATAAAATAATAATAAAAATAAAACAATAAAATTAGAAAAATGAGAGGAATATATTTTTGTCTTGGACTTTCTTGAAAATCAATAGGAACAACAAGACAAATTATATTTTACAATACAATGTCCCTGCTTTATCATAGCACTTGGGCAACGTGAACATACCACTAAAAAATAAATTTCTTTTAGATGTTCCTCCTTTTCGATGTTGCTTATTTAAACCCGTCGTAAAATTGCCTTGAGATGCAAGAAATTCAAGTTTAACATAAATGAGGCAGTGAAGAAACCATGCAAATTTGAAAAAAGCAATAAAAAACAAGTAAGCAAAAAACATTTTTATTTAAAAAATTACAAACAATGGTCAATGATTAATGTAAGAAAATTAAAGTAAGAATTAGCGCTGTTTTTTAAGTGTTTTAGCGTTTTTTTTTTTTGATAAATACAAAAAGTTATATTGTCATATCAACAATAGTATATTACATGCGAAGTGGAAAATGTGACATGGCATGTGTCAATACTATTTTATTCACAATTAAATTTCTTTAAATAATAGATACAATATCTGCTATTTTGTTAAAGCTGATGCATTAACATAGTTGTAACCTTAGTAATCCTTCATAAATTACTTCCCGACCGAAAGATCTAATAAAAAATTTCCCGACTTCCAAAAGGTTAAAAATCGGCATATTACATAGTGATTGTGAATAAAAATTTTTACTGTATTTTATAAATGTAGTGAAATCGCCATCAAGTCACTTAGATTTAAAATTATCTCATTTTCGTGACCCTGTCTTCTCCTAAACTCGTCTAGAGGACACACAATGTTATAATTTAATATAAGTAAATACCACAAACGTGATAACTTACCTATGATCTTTTTCAGTTTAAATACACAGATAACAAATTTTTCAAAACTTATTGAACCTTTGTCACCATATATTGACATAAGAATAATCAAAATCTTTTTATTTACTTGATACCCACAATCCTTGAGTATATTTCTTAACTCAAAACCATTTAATTTTCTGGAATGATTAGAATCGTATTTTTTGAATATTTGCTGAAAAATAAAATAAATACACATAAAATATGCAAATACAATTAGAAATTGGAATACAAAAAATCTTAATATTATTAAACAGAAGTTCTTCAGACTACTCGTACATATCAAATTTTGTTCCATTTCTAAAAATCATCAATTTTAGTTTCTTTCAATCAACTTCTTTGTGCGAATAGTTATGCAACCAATAATTAGGCAAAACCAATTTATTATACAGTGCTTCACGTAATTTTACCTACGTTGTATAGAGTTTTGAATATGGAAATATTCATTTTCTATAAAATCAAATTTCTACCAGATCTACCAATTCGAGATTTGAAGCGTAATTTTTTTTTAAATTAAAATAATACAATGGCGGACACGAAATTTTGGACATGAAATTTATGTCACTTCAAAAAATTTCAATGTAAGCTACGCTTTATTGTCATTATGATTGACGTTTGAAACTAAAATTTGAAAGTTTTAGTTGAAATTTATTTTAGCGTCGATTTTCGTGTTTTTATATAAGGTCAATAAATTGTTTTGATTTGTTGTCATTTGTTGTCATTGTCATTGGAACTTATTTTTGCAAAAATCAGTACTTATCTGTAATCTTAAAAAAAATTAACAATTCGTTTCGCGAGCTGTTTCGAAATAAACTAAGATTTTATTATGATTAAATACGCAAAAATGCAATTTATATTATAAAAACTTTTTTTTCAGTTGTAAGCTAATAATTGTGTGACCGTTGTTTCTTACCTTAAGCTTATAAACATGTTGCATCATATTTTGAAATTCATGCAAGTCCAGTTTTCCACTGTGATTAGTATCCCATAGCGCAACAATATTTTTACATGTCTCTTTTGAAAATGCTGTTTTAAAAGACACTGCAAACAAATAACAATTTAAAGGTTTACATCATTTTCTATATTTTTGTGTTTTACTTTTCTTGCCAAACTGGGCGTTGAGAGCTTTCCTGACGCCCTCCATCCCAATTTTCATGCCCTTGAGAGATATTTTTGTAAAAATTTTGGACCAAATTTGACCCGTAACTTGTCCATCCTTAAAAATTATACCCAATTAAAAAACACAAACAAACTTAAACAAGTTAAAGCTTACTGGAGTGTCGACATTGTCTGGAGCAGAATATCCGATTTCAGTATCATTCTCCCTACAAATCACATGTAATAAATAAAACATAGTAATTTAATAAATTTTTTTTTTACTTATATCTTACCTAATTCTTCCATGTTTGTCGGAATATATTCTTAATAAATAATTTCCATATATGTTTTTCTGACCAGTGTTAGGAATTACACAGTAATTTCCGGCAGGTAAATGAACTTTCATTAGAATCTGACGAACTCCACGTTCTTCAATTTGCTCTAGTGCTGAGTTCGAGTCAAAAAATGCTTTATCGAGAAGTCTTCCATCATCATTGGGCACCTATATTTTTACACTAAATAATTCAAACAATCTATAAAAGAGAAACTATAAATACGTGAAATAAATGTAGTTGAAGTGGTAAAAATTTTTCTTTCAATTCTCGCCTTTCCTTCTGCATCAAGGCTATAATAATCCAACACAAGTTGTCTCCTTCTTCAACAGTTATAATACTGTACTGGGGATTATTAGCAAACGTTTCTAAAAAAATCACAATTACAAATAAAGTCTGTTTCTTTCAAATGGAAATGTCAACAGTTGGCACTAGTGTTGCCAGATCAAAAACATAAAATTCACCAGATCCGAGTTGAAAAATTTGACAAATTTTCATCAGATTACGATTTGTATGGCAAAATCTCGCAAAAAACGCAGTTTTCAGCTTAAAAAAAGTAAAAATAGCCAGATTTTCGGCGTAATTCTGTGATTTTTTGGCTTGTTTTTAAAAAATTTGCGAATTAATTGCGTTTGTAGTTGAAAAACGTGCTAAAAGGCGCGAAAAACGCAATTCCACACTTAATTTCTTGATTTTTTAGTTTGTTTTAGCGAAATTTAGCAAAAAACATGAGATTTAAGTACAAAAACGTGTTAAATAGCAGTTTCGATCAAATTTTGTGGTTTCTCAGCTTATCTTTAGTCTTGATTTTACCCATAGATCAGTTAAATCGAGTAAAATAAAATAACATCAATATTAACCCTAAAAAGCAAAGTTTTCAGTCTAAAAATCTGCTTGAACCTTTGAAAAAAAAAGTTATATCATTTTCGGCTTTATTCTGTGTTTTTTTAGCTTGTTTTTAACACAATTTTTTTTAATAATTGCGTTTGCAGCTGAAAAACGTGCTAAAACGCAATTCCAGACTTAATTTCTTGATTTTTTAGTTTGTTTTAGTGAAATTTAGCGAAAAACATGAAATTTTAGTACAAAAACGTGCAGCATTTTCGGTCCAATTTTGTGATTTCTCAGCTTATTTTTGTCTTGATTTTGCCCATAGTTAAATCGAGTGAAATAAACAAAATAACATCAATATTAATCCTTTTTGTGATTTTTGGCGTTTGAAATAATCAAGTTATAGCCTAAAAGTTACCTAGATAAAAATATTATAATATAATCTTTTTTTATAAGAATTTAGTGCTTTTTGACACGCTCTGAAAACTCTCGCGAAAAAGCAAAGTTTTCAGTCTAAAAATAAGTTATATCATTTTCGGCTTAATTCTGTGTTTTTTAGCCTGTTTTTAACACAATTTTTCTAAATAATTGCGTTTCTAGCTGAAAAACGTGCTAAAAGTCTCAAGAAATGCAAAATTATGGTAAATGTCGACTTTATTCGTTGATTTTTCAGTTAGTTTCAGCAAAATCTCGCAAAAAATTTGAGATTGTAGTACAAAAACGTATTTAAAAACATTCTCTGTTTATTTTTGTCTTATTTTGTTCATAAATCAAGTGAAACAAACAAAATAACTTCAATATTAATAGTTTTTGTGATTTTTTTCCGTGTTTGGATAAGATTTTGCAAAATAAATGAGCCTCTGGTTCAACAATGAAGTAAGTCAAGCGAAACAAGCTAAAAATAATATCAATTTCGATTTGATTTTGTAATTTTTTTGTCTGCTTCAACAAAATTTTTAGAATTTTCTTTGCTTTCATCTCAAAAACGTGCTTAAGCACTTGAAAAGGGCAAAAATAACGTCGTTTTTAGTCGAATTTGTTGAATTTTTGGCTTGTTTTTAATAAAAGTTTGCGAAATAATTGTGTTTCTAGCTGAAAAGTATTCGAGAAACCCAAAAATAAATTGTCATTTTCGATCCTGTCTAGTAAAAACTTGTAAAAAACAAACAGAAGTGTTTTTTTTTTAATCAATTTGGTGGTTTTTCGACTTTTTTGAATAAATTTAAAGAAACAATCAGGTTTTGGTTGAAAAAAAATCACCAGAATTTTTACAAAAGTTTTCACCAAATTACCAGACCAACATGAAAATCACCAGATCTGGTGAAATTTCACCACACCTGGCAACACTGGTTGGCGCCACTTGCAAATTCATTCATGGTAATTTTAATAAAATAAATTGACAGTTCCGGTTAATTTCACCAAAATTTTGACTTGGTGATTTTCGTTAAAAAAAACAAACAATGTTTTTGTGTTATTTTTGCACCTTTATCGGTCAACCCTCCTCCAGCTGTAACAAATGGAAACCACATGTCTTCAAACATGTAAAATCTCCAGTTCGGTTCAGCATTTTGAGGAAATAAACAAGGATTCTGGTGACAAATTTCAACAAACGTGAAACACTTTTGAAAATCTGTAACGTCCATCCAAAATTCACCATCAGCATTTGTAACCCACAATTCGTCTCTTTCTTCTCTTGAAATCGAATTCCAAGAGTCGTGACTAAAATTTAACGAATTTAGAGCTAGAAAATTTTTGCTTTTTTAGTCATATTCACTCATTGTCACTCCATCGTCCATTCCATTCGGCCGATCCACCGCAAGGATTTCTCAACCTTATCAATTGCACAGTTGAATGGTTTACTTCCAGAGAACACAACTTTGTAATACTATAAACATGTAAATTAATTAAGCCATCAGGACGCTTTTCTGTGTTCTCCGTTGCCTGCAAGTTGACTATTAGATCAGAATTACAAAAGTTTGTTAAGTTTACAATGTAGCAACCCATAAAAGCCAATTTTTCATGACACTTTTTCATGGTATCATAGATTGTTTGATCATTCGCCTTGTAAACTTCCGATAAACCCCCAAATAAATCCTCGAAAGCTTCATTGATTTTCCCATTTTCAATATTTTTATATGAACCATATAATCTTCAAACAAAAATTGTTATTTATGTATCAAGAGATGCATACAAAACTTTCCTCCCAACAAACGACTAAATTAATAACTATAAGAAAATAATAGGAAAATTTGTTAAAATATTCAGTTGATTCAAATGCAATTTGTAGAATAAAAATCGGTTTCAAGGAGTTTTTTTATATCAAAAAAACACTAAAGATTCAATTCATTCAGTTACAGTTTATTTTAAAAGAGGGAATAAAGTACCAGATTATTAGTCATAAAGTGGAACTTTATTCCCTGTTAAGAGGAAAGTATTGTAAAACAAGTCACTACTTCGCATAGGCTTTTTCCAGAAGTGATGGCCAAAATTCAGTTGGATCCCCTGATTTGGCATAAATCAGTTCATCATTAATTGTTGGCAATTTATCATCTATAACAACATCCACCCATCGTCCATATTGCCAAAATCTATTCAAAAAAGAAAATTTTAGTTTGCAATAGAATGTAATTTTTGTAAACCTGAAATGAAATATCCCCGCATAATGTTCACTACAACTTTGCCCTGGTGGAACAACCAATGAAAAGAGTTGTTGGTTTTGTGTTAAGTTTGCTACAGCTGAAAGAAACCAACAGTCTTTCAACTGTCCCTGATTTATGTCGAATCGTGTGGCTCCATCTTTAATAAATGATGCATTTTCTCGACAGATTTCCTAAAGTAGAAACATTTTATAAAATTTCCACTATTTGGCGACAGAAAAACTAAGTAGTTTTTAAACTACAAAATTTTAACTTTTTAACTATCCTGGGGCCAGTCAATTTTTTAATTTCTTGCAAAAAGTAATGACAATGTACAATAGGTTTTATGTACAACAAATTTAAAACTGAAATTCATCGCAAAATACGTTTTTATCTATGTGGGTAAACTAACGTTTTAAATAAAAAAATATTTGTCTATAAAATAAAAAAATAAACAGTAAATGTAAATTCAAACATATATTTCCTAATAATTCTGTCTGGACAAATTTCTTATCAAAAAATAAATTGTTAGGTAAACTAAAGCTCGTGTTTGGTTTTCTTTGCAGAAATTTGCATTTTTTTATAATTTCTGAGAATAAACAGGCAGTCTGAAATGTAACAAACTGATATATTAATTGTTTAACATTTGATACATTTTAAAGATGGGAAATTACTAAAAATTTTGCTTTTTTTGGTCATATTATTGAGTAATATTCACTTTATTATTATCAGTGGAGAAAATCTCGAATATACAGATGATTCAAAAATGTCGGATCAATTCTCGAATGGTGACTTTCAACTATGCACAATAATGTTTTCAAATTTTTTTAAGCCTTTTTTTTGCGAAAAACTAAAACTGTCAATTTCCATATTAGACAGTTTCTGATATTGTCGGATTTAATTTATTGTTAATTGTTATTTATTTATACACTATATTAACGGTGCAAGATCTGCCGTTTCCGCTAACTAAAGTCAAAAATACGGCCAAAAACGTAACCCAAAGATCTAATCTTTGAAAAGCTGTATCTGCTGAAAAAAGGCCCAAACAATTTTTTGTAATGGAACTGTATGTCCTTTATCATCACCCAGATGGTCCAAGACTTTTGAGTCAACTGTACATAATACATTTTTGATAACATTTCCCAGAATCGAGAAAAAAACCGACGTTTTGTAAATAAGTAATTTTTGCATTTTTTTTTGTTAAACTGAGTAAATTTAACAATAAATTCAATTTAAAAAGCGCTCAATAGAAAAAATATTGTAAAAACAAGTATTACCTCTCATTGTGATTTTAATTTGTCCTCTAATTATATGTATATTAATTACGAGAACGTTGGTTAAACAAAATTTTATAATGATGCAACAATAGTTTTCTATTATGTACTTCCTTTAATAAGAATCCTTTAATAAGGATTTTCCTTTTTTGCAAAAATAAGATACATGATTATCTAAGTCGGCAAATGCTATGTGAAGGATTATCTAAATGCATATTTGTACGCAGGTTTTTATCTTGAAATGCAATCAGATTACAAAAATAGACCCGGGAAATCCCGTAAATTTAATAATCGTTTGCTATTTTTTTACCAAAGACATAATAAGGAGATTATGGCCCCAAGGAATGTTTAACGCTCGACGTTAGGAGGGCTTTTAACCTCCTGAGGTCTATAATCGACAATTATACACAACGTTTTATTGTTTTTTTAGATTACGTTTTGCTACTCTCAAATACAAATTTATTATTTCAATAAATTAGACTAAATTTCCCGTCCCTTTTTTACAAAGATTATATTATTTTTTTATTAATTATTATTTAAAAATAGTGTAAACTTTGATTGAAATTTTGAAGTATTTAAGTTGCAAACTTACAAATGGTCTTCTCCAAACTACTGTTCCTTCAATTTCCCCTAAAACTTTACTATCAACAGCAAAATTGTGATCATCAAAAAGTGTTCTATTTCTCAAGTGATGATCTTTTAATTCGTCGTAGTTTTGCAATTGTTGTTGTTTTATGCCTGCGTTATTTTGGCCAAACTGTAAAACAAGAGGTACAGACCATGAAAATAAAAGGCAAAAAAACTTACCATATAAACTCTTTTTAAGGAATCATAATTTAGTGGTGCCTCCATAGTGTTTATTGTTTAATATTTTATATCACTTACAACTAGTATAACAATAAATATAAATCGAAACCGAGGTATATTTAAAACTCAAAACTAAGTATTGATAAGATAAGATATTTAGGAATAAGTAAATAAGTTTTTTAAATCGAATTGTTCAGAATTTCACTGATGTAAATTCATCAATGACATCATTAAATGAAGGATCCACCAGCCGCTCTTTTTAAGTTTTTATTTTTAAAATTGATTTTACTAGAATTTTTTGTTGATGTACCAGTTCAGAACTTGAAAGTATTTTATTTGATTTTACTTGAGTTTTGACTTCTAGGAATAAGTATGATTTAGTAACAATGAAATTGAAGACGTTAAAGAAAAATTTGCTAATGCTCAGTATCATCAGCTTTTTTCCACAGAATGATTCAATTTAAACATATTTAATTTTTAGTAAAATTTTTTCTTGCTTTTTCACTTTAACTCCCTATTCATTTTTTTTTCTTTGACAACTCATTTAACTTATTTTTTTGTATACGCTCCCTAAACTAGCTATTTTGCGGACTCATTTGAGCAAAAAAAAGCGAAGTATTGCAACGAGTTGTATTCAAGGCTTTTTACAATTTTGCCAAAATTTAAGTAAAATATTTATTAATTTGCCTCCAGAAAATAATAATTAATATAAATTAAAGTAATATAAAAAATGTGATCGTATTTTCAGAACGAAATTTTGTTTTGTTTTTGAGTTATGCGATTTTTTTTTGTCAAAATTGCAATTT